TATAAATATATTTTTTACTTTATTTTAAATTATATTTCACTTAAGAAAAAAAATTACATTTAACAAACAGATTATGATCGCATTTAAATTAATAATGCTTTTTGTATATGTAAATCAAGTATAGAATTATCGTTAAAACGAAATAATGCTTTTCCTTGATCAAGACATGATTCAATATAAATAATAATTGGTATAAGTGCAATAAATTCTAATCGAGTAAATTTCATTATTTTTATGGTTGAAATAAGATTTTCTAATTCTTTTGTAATACGTTCATATTTACCATTTGTTGTTCGATTCATAATTAATGCAACAAGATTATCAAAATTTATTGTTGATGTTACAGGTGAATAACGACTATCAAATTCTTCGAGTAATTCAACTATATCATCATGATAATAATTAAAATCAACATCATCTAATAATGTATTCCATATATGTGAACTAAATTATTTTAAAACTATTTATATAAAAGAAAAAACAAAATAATCTTTATCTTACTCTTGCTCAGCTATCATATTAACAAGTACAGCTGTAGTATAGAATTCTTGTAAACCAAAATAAGTTATATCACTTGTTATATCATATAACTAAAGGAAAAAATAAATGTAAATAGAACAATTTTAATATGCCTTATTCTGTGCTACGAACTGCACGAAAGAATGTTTCTTGAGCACGAGGTAAATTGGATGGTAAACACTTTTGTACTTGAGTATATGTTAGATGCCTAGATTTTTTTTGTAAATAATGATGTTTTAAAAAGTATTCTTTAGCATACCCATCTTTATCTGTATCAAGTTGTTGAAATAATCGATTTAGTTTATTACGATCTGCTTCGCTAAGTAATGAACTTGCAATCATATGCTACAAGTTCAAAGAAAACAATAAGATAACTGTATCAGAATGTAAGCAGATTAGTGTCAATGATAATGCTAGCAGACAATATGTATTCTTTACTTATATCAATAGCTATTCTCATGAAATAAATATTTTTACGATTCCTTTTTATTTGTTTCCATCATATCTAGTGAGCAGTATCCTTGATATTACTAACAGAAGGGTGTGGGTATAGCTGTCTTCTCTTGACTCACACCCTCAAGATGGTATAAATTAAATTGATAAAAGTAAATAAATACTTTAAGTGGATTGTTTGATTTTGTTTGTATTTGAGAAGTAGCTACTACTGTAACTGTTGATCGACTAAGCGAACTTTCTGATCGGAAGAAAGGCGGTGATTTACATTTAAAATTCGCTTTTTGTGTTAGATTAGCTTTGATCATACGATCTTTTACTACTGGTAAATGTTGTTGTTGAGTAAATAATGTTACTGGATAATTTGATGTGTAAATTGGTAGAACTGGTGTAGGCTGTAAGACAAGTCGATTTGTGGGAGTTGACGAAGATGCATGAAAACGTCTGAAAAATTTTTTTAAAATATATCTGGAAAATATATTAAATGTAAAGCATACAGTGAATCTTGAATATTATCTGTTGACTTTGATTTAATAACTAAAAAATATTATATATATAAAATCAAATGTTTGTTCTATGTAATTTACCTGATGATAATTTTTTCGATAATGGAGGTAATTTAAGTGGTGCTGTATCTCGTCCTGTAGTATTACTCGATTGTTGAATTTTTCTGAATAATCTCGGTAATGTTTGATTATTATTTGTAGATGTCTTTTTCAAAATTGTTATAGCTGAATTTAATGTTGCATTTGCTTGTGTTCGTTGTAACATGATCGATTTCTTAAAGTAATACAAATAAATAGTATGATCAAAGAACAACCAAAAAGTTCGATTTTGAAACACTCAAACTGTTATATAACAATCTTGTTCTCTCGCATACTTGTATATTACATTTAATGGAATTTATAGTGTGAATGAAAAAAAGGATTACACACATGTATGATACACGCTCACCTACATTAACAGAATTTTGTGTAGCCGCATTTTGATGATGATTTGAAGAAATAACAGGTAATTTATTCGACGTTGTATTATTGACCGCAAGAGAACCTTGTGAAATCCATGTTCTATAAACAAAATTAATTATATTTTCTGTTGATTATTGTTTTTAAATCATACACATAAAACTTATAAATTGTTCTATGAGTATTATTTTTATTTTATACCTTGGATACATATTATTTTGTGTTTTTCTATTAGCCAAAAATGTTGTTCGTTTTGGTAATTGTAACATAGTTTGATCAACTCTTGATAATTTAAATTTTGGAACAAGAGAAGAATAAACATGTTTCGATGATAATTGATGATTAGATATTTTTGAATTAAATTCTGAGCCAATTATTTGAAGCTGTTGTTGTTGTTTTTCAAGTTGTTCAGTTATTGGAATAGGTGGTGTATAATTTTCTTTATAATGAAGTACATGATGTTCTTTATTTGTATCAACATTTGAACTGATCTAATTCGAAATAAAAAAAAGAATCGATAGAAAATTTTCATAATTATTTTATAATGTACTTGATTCGAACGTTGAAGAACATTTGACTGAATAAAGAAATTTTTATTTTCTAATAAACAAAAAAAAACAACAACAACAACTTACTAAAGATGTACCAATAATATATTCATATTTAAATTGTTGATGAGAATGAGAATCAATAGTATTCATTACTTTTCTTTTATTTTTTAAGAAAACAACTTATGATATTATGCTTTAAATTTTTTTCTGTGATTCAAAAATGTTATTTTTATTGATCACTCAAATAAAAAAAAAAGAAAGCTGAAGTAAAGCAAGAAAAACGATCGATGGTAGAAGAAAAAAATCAGTACAAACATTGAAATCGATACTAACAAAATATACACACAAGTGTATGTATAAACATTGTTGATGAAAAAAGAAAAAGTAATAAAAAAAAAGATCTATAATAACAATAACGATTGTTCGTTTTTTTCTTTCGTTTCTACTTTTTCTTATAATGTTTGCATCATTTTGGCAGCGTCTTCTTTTGTATTATTTATTTCATTGTTTAAAATTGGTTTCTCCTTACCTAAACAGAATTAATTTTTTATTATTAGTTATTGATGTTAATATATTCTTACTATTCTCTAATTCTTTTCTTTTTTTATATTTAATTATTTGACTTCGAATAACATAAACAAGCCAGAATGGTTTTGTTGTTAAGAAAGCTACGACAAGTGGAACAACAATTGCTTGTGTTGCATAAGGTTGTGGAAATGAATATAATATAATCATGAATGCAATACCAGTATTTTGTATTCCAGCTTCAATACCAACGGTTTTAATATGAATCCAATCAAGTCGACATATCCATGCAAAAAAAGCACCAAGTAAAAATCCTAAATAAGGTAATAATGGTGCTGTTAATGCTGTATATAAATCAATCATTGTAAGTAAATACCAATTAACAATTGTACCAAAAACAAGAAAAAATATTAGAAGAAATAACATCAGTGGCTTAACAAGAGATTCAACAATTTTACGCGTCTTTGGTGAATAATGACTAATAACAATACCAACACTGTATGGTATAACAACAAGTGCCAATGATCGTACAAGACCTAAAAATGGTACACGTATATGTAATTCATCCGTATAAATACGTCCTAATGTATAGAAGTAGAGTGGCATCATAACAAAAGATGTAGCAGTTGATACAAATGACATTACAGCTGATAAATTAACATCACCATCGAACAAAAGTGTCCATTGGTTGGAAGCACCACTACCTAAAAATTTTCTTTTTTATTTGTATAAAAAATATATTTTTCTTTTATTTATACTTTACCTGGACAACATCCAATAACAAATAGAGCAAGACTATATAACGGTGTATATTTAAAAACTTTTGCTATACCCATTGCTAAAAATGGCATTAGACCATATTGTGAAAGAAAACCAACTATAACTGGTTTAGGTTTTTTAACAAGACCAATTAAAAGTTTTGTATCAAGTAATATACCCATTTGTATTGAAATAAATACTATTAAAAATGGTAATATCATCATAAACACACTATCTATTGTACGTTTCGGTTGTATAACAAGAACTTTTAATGACCATGTATAGGATGATTTAGAATCATCTTTATAAAATACATCCATAACAAATGTTAAGATTGTTTCTTCCATCCTCGTACTTTCTATTAACCATGTTATATCAATTGCTAATTGATTATCAAGATGAATTAATGTCGGCGATGGATAAGCATTAAATATATGACCAAGTGCATTTTTTT